CTGCAGACTGTTGAGGGTTCAGCCTCCTGATGAGTCGGTGACACTCCGACGAAACAGTTTGTCACAGCCCCTCGTTTGTTGTCCTCTTCTCTCTCTCTGCCTACGGTTTACCGGGCAGTTCTGTTTGTGACGATATATATATATATCGTCAATGTGTGTGTGTGTGTGTGTGTGTGTGTGTGTGTGTGTGTGTGTGTGTGTGTGTGTGTGTGTGTGAGTGTGTGAGTCTGTGTGTATGTGTGGGTGAACACACAATGATTGATTGAGAGATTGATCGACTCATCGTTGGATTGATGGATGGATTGATAGATTGATATATTTATGTGCATGGGATTACGATGTACAATGGAAGCTGGCTGGAGTGCAGTAAACGTTGCGGTCTTCTTGATGGTGGTGGCACTGCTGCTGATGGATGGTGTGTACCTGTTATGGATTATAAGAAACTAGTATGGTTTCTGAACCTGGTATGAACATCGTGCCTGGTTTGGTTAAGAGAAAAGTGCATCATGTGATCAGTGTTCTAATATTGATAAGTGCCTTCTATCCATCCTTGGATAAGGATAACTATTCGTGGATTAATTTTGTCTATCCATGGGTAAAGATATCAGTGGATAAATTTATCTATCTATCCATAGTTAGTTATCTGTCCACGGATAAGAACGCCTGTCCCTGGATAACTGTATCTATCCATTGGTAAAAAAAAGTATCTATCTATCTATCTATTCATAGGGACAACTACCCGTGGATAAATTTATCTATCCATGGGTGAAATTATCTATCTATCTCTGGGTAAGCATAACCATTCGTGGATAAATTTATCCATCCAAGGGTTAATTTATCCATCCATGGGTTAATTTATCTATCCATGGGTGAAATTATCTATCCATGGGTGAAATTATCTATCTATCTATGGATAAGGATAACTGTCCTTGGATAAATTTATCTATCCATGGCAGGGTTGCATCCCTGCCGACTGCCAACCGTATTGCAGCCGACCAGGAGGGCCGACCGGGCGGCGGTCTGCCGACCAGTCAGAAAACAACCATGCACTGATTTTTTTTCAAATCTGAGTTGGGGGCTGTACTGCGCTTGCTGAGTACAGCCCAAATCCGCTGAGAAACTTTTGCGGACCGGGGGGGGTATGGGGGGGTTGGGGTTGGAGTATAGGGGGGTAGAAGGGTGATATAGGGGGTATTGGGGGGGGTAATAAGGGTGTTGGGGGTGGTTTGGGGGTGTGTGGGGGGGTGTATGGGGGTATTGGGGGCCGCTATGGGGGTGTTGGTGGTGTTACTAGGGGTTCTGGACCCCAAAATTTTATTATTTATTTTATTATTTTTTTTTATTTTTATTTTTTTGTGCAGGGTGCCGACGATCCCCGACCGGTAGGTGCCGACCAGCCAATCGGTCGGCGGGTCGGCAGCCGACCAGTCAACGGCCGCCGTCCTGGCTGTCCATCAGCCATGGATGACTACCAGCCCTGTCCATGGATAAGCCATGAGCTAGGAACCTGGTATGAACTCAATATTGCAATCTTCAGGGCTGTCAGAATAAAATTAAATAAAATTGAAAAGTCCCAAAAACGAAAATGAAAAATGCATGCAAGGAAATTACTAAAATTGGTCAAGCAATGCCAACAATGCCTTCACCGTAAAGCCGTTACACTCTTGCACCCTAAACCCTAAACCCTAAACCCTGGATTGTAAAATGACTCAAGTCCTAAATTAGGAAAGTCAAAAGACTCTAAACTAGTAAAACAACTTCTTGCATGGGTCTTCCGTAGACACCTTGGTAACCTTGTAGGGGGTAGATTCTGAACCTTTACGTCCTGTTTCCTACCCCCCCCCCCCCCCCTTCTTCTCTTTTGGGAGTCATCTGTTTTTTAACTTTTTTGAAGTTTTTTTTTTCTTTTTTCCACCCCCTGAATTTTTTTCTCCCTTTGTGAAGCCATGGAAGATCTGATGGAGGTCTCTTCTTCATATGTTGTCAGTTATGGAGGTCTCTTCTTCATATGTTGTCTGATGATGGCCTCCAGCTGGTGTGAGGTGTCGGCTATGCCAATTCGGTCTTGTCTCAAAGGTCTGCTGCTCGTTCCGATTTTGCTGACAAGTTACCACTGTCTTCCGCCGTAAGGTCATTAACGCTGTATTTGGAGCAACTATATGCGGCCATAATGACAGTAGGTTATAGTCAGGGGAGTCAGGGGAAGAGGGTAGTAACTCACAACTGTTCTTTTGTTTCTACCAAGTATTTGGAGCAACTTCAAGTCTAGATACAGCCACAATGACCATACATTATATTCAGGTAAAGTCGGTTGTAACTCACACTGTTCGTTTGTTTTACCAAGCAAGTGCACTGTTCTTTTTTTTTTTTTTTTTTTTTTTTTTAAATTTATTCATCAATCAATGAGCTGAGGCCGGGGACCTCACAATTCCACCCGGAGTTATCCCGGCAGCATCAGCCGGTTTAGCTTATCGTCGTCCAATTCTGTGCCAACTTCATGAACATATGCAAGATGCTATAATTGACCAGAAAACCTTCGAACTCCCCCAGTCCAGTCCAGCCGGTTTAGCTTATCCCATCCCTATCCAGCCTACCTCCCCTCACTAACCCCTTATTCTACCTTGCCTCCTACCCTATTGCCTAACTAGTCCTGACCTAACCCGGCCAGACCTCCGCCTAAGACGGCCGATGGAACCAAGTTCCTCGTTAACTAACGCTCCCTGTCCCCTTTATCGCAGCCGAGCGCCCAGGCCGCTACCCCTACTACTCCCCCCTAAGTGCTAACCCGTACCCAAGCCACTCTGTCTGTCTCTAGTAGACCTACTTAAACCTCCCCTCTCCCTTACCTACCTGACCACTCCCCCCCCCTCCCTGAACCTGGGAACTCTGCGATACCTCTCTTCTTCCCCTGGATTTATCTGTCCAGCCAAGGAGCCGTTTCCAGCTTCCCATCTCTTACCCCTGCCAGGGCGCCTGGTGCTGCCCAGGTCTCATAGAACCACCTCAGGCCAGCCGGCCTGTTCCCCTGCGCTACTCTCTTTCTCCAATCCGCTCTGATTCCCGTTTTCAGCATCGATTTGAACAGTTTCTCTGCCTGAAGTTCCGACAGCCCCTCGTTTTGAAATCTTCTGCCATTTCTGTCCAACCAGATAACCCACATCATCACTGCCCGACTGACCTGGGCTATGTACCCCCAACCCTTGTCCCCCCTCTCCCCATGGCCCAGAAAGCCTTGTATGACCCACGCCATGTCCTGATCCACTTTTCTTCCTGACATCTTCTCCCAATGTCTAAGCCACCATGTCCACCAAGTGCACTGTTCTCTCTCTTAGGTGGTTTGCTTTCGTTTTTAAAAAAAATATTTTTTATTCTATTTTAAATGTAAGGGCGATGGCCTTGAGATATCACCATTCAACTGACTGGCCCCATGTAAATCAGCATTACTTTGAGACTTTGAGTACATCTGGATTCGAGTTTGGGTCTGTATGTCAATAGAGTTCATGGGTGTACCAACTGAGCCTCGCAGTCACCATGGTACGTTTGCATCGAAGGTTGTGTTATGATTAGGAGACAAGTTGTCGTCCTCATCGGACTTGGGAATTGCGTGGGTAGTCGTTAGTGCTCAGTATAGAGGTTGTCTATCCCTTAAGGATATGCATATTATGCAATATATAACATCTGCCCATTAAAGCCATCTACTTGGAGGTCACTCGGTATTAGGTTGGTTGCTTTCGTAATTTTGCTCAGGACATGATAGTGAAGCCTGCCTTATCGATTTCTTTCTTCCTTTTTGTCTCTTTCCTTTTCTGCCTCTTTCCTTTTCTGCCTCTTTCCTTTTCTGCCTCTTTCCTTTTCTGTCTCTTTCCCTTTCTGTCTCTTTCCTTTCTGTCTTCTTGTCTTGTGTGGTTCCTTTTTTCAATTTTTTTCTTTTTCTTTTTGTTTTCTTTTTGTGTGTGTGTCTTCTGCGGCTCGTGGATTTGGTATTACTATGAGAGATTGTTATGCTGCGAAGGGCCAGCGCAGACCGCCGTGTGTGCACTATGTTTCCCCTTCTGTTTGGGCATACAAGAATGGAGCTGCAAGTCTGTCAAAGCTCAAGAGTATAGTGGATCACGTCCTGTGCATATTGGCTTTTGAGCCGGCTTTATATAAATCCAGTGGCGTTCAAGCAACATTTGTTGGACATCCAGCTCTCGAAGATGTATGGCGCAATCAAGATTCCGATGCGGTAGGTCCAGTATAGACACCCTAACGATCCCCCTGC